TTGATAGAAGCAACTAAACCTGATAGAAATAGGAGGATCAAATATGTTTTTCTAGCATTCACTATGCAGTTTTCTTTCATGCTTGTCGAATCCTTTGCTGTTATTCAAAGTTTCAGCCAGGTTTGCAAAATAAAAGGCTAGCACAGTGAAAAACTGGGAAGGACGCACAGAGCACGTCAGATATCAGATTTTCCTTTGTTGGCCGTGATGAGCTTCATCTTCATGCTCTTGTTTCATCTCATCAAGTCGCTTTGTGGCACGTCAGCGCTACAATGTGGGAGTTAATCAAACGTTTTTTTATATAGGGACCAGTGATGTGTTTGGTTGTATCATAGTGTGTGAGGTTTCTCTGAGTCCACATTTATCTGTTGACCCATCAGAAGAAACAAAACATAAACCCCCTAGCAGTGCAGTAAGAGACAATTTCCACACACCAACATTATCAGGAATGAAAGCATACGCAGTTTACAAACAGCTCCCATCCAGCAGCAGAAGAAAGTGTATGCTTTAGTTGCGCGGACTGTCTTGGCAAACAACAACTGAATCCAATAAAGCTACGATGTGAGGATAAACAGCCGACAGTAAACATATTATCTCTCAACAAATGGTGCCGCTCCCATTCCCCCTTCTTCAGATGTTATTGAACTTCTGCATACATGCTATTATTTACTGGCAGCAGTTCAAACACAGTAGCCCATTTATGTTTGTGGTATTGTCCGTTTAGCAAAATATACGAGAGCTTCTGGTGAATTCCAGTCTATGCAAGTAGTGAGAGATAATATCAGTGCAACACAGTCCATCATCCTGCCATACCTCAATAGAAAAATTGTTTTTTGCTCGGCAAGAATGTCCTGTTTAGTACATAAACTCTCCGGTTGTGCAGCAGGTTTACTGAAAGGAACTAGTTTCTGAAATAATGGAGCACCATCTCTGTTAATAGTCGCTACAAAATCAAATGTGTCATCTTGCAATACTAATTTATATAAATAGTTATCACCGCAATAAACTGTATTCTATTGACATGTATATAGACTTTTTGCACTACTTTTTATTTTGTATTTTATTATATATGTTGCATTTTTGGAGGAGCTCAGGTCAGAAGAATGTCCTTGCCATTGCTACACTGTAGCTTGTGCACATGGCAATAAAACCTTTGAATCTTGAATCTTTGAATATCCAAATCTCCGTTAGAAGCTTGTATTATAAAAACTAGGAATACAGTTCTGTGTATTGATATTTTACTGGTGTCCAGGATAAATGAACTTCAAACTGTTTCTCAGTCTGTGTTGCTTCATACAGACCAAAGCTGGTTTTAACCTTAAGCCATGGCAGGCTGACCATTTTTTTTTCAGTTGCACAAATGTATCTAGTATAGCTGCCCAGTTAAACCACAGGTTTTATTTTTTATTCTCGGTCACTGAGAAAAATCAGCAGCAGCAGCAGCTCCACTGAAGCAGTTTGGGCAGAGCAACACAGCCCCAGAATAACCGTGAGTGTTTTACTCATTCAGTTCCCCCAATGAGATCTTTTTCATCCTGTGTGAAACCAGTGACCTTCAAAGCACATTCTCGCTCCTCTGATCTTTTGACTCCCGTCGCTCCTTGCAACATATTTGACAACGATGATACTCATGTGAACATTTCCCCAGATATATATATATATATATATTTATATATATATATATTGTAAGCTAATTTTACTCTATGTGTTTCTCTTTCCTCATTCTCTCCCTCTTTTTCTCTCACACACATAATCTTCTTCAGAGTTCACTGGCAGGCTGCAGACCGGAATAAAGGTGTTTCCCATGTTGTGCTGTTCCAGAGTATAATCATGTTCATTGGCTAGAAATACACTATTACTTTATTCATAAAATATAAACACCATGTCCATTTGACAGTGAAACTCTTCATAATAGAAACATAGCCAAAAACAAATTCTGACCCAAGCGACCAAAACTACTGTTAGAGGATATCAAGAGATGAATATCCTCTATCCTCAAACCTGAGACTTGGACAAAAAACAGTTCAAATGCAAATGAGCTTTATACGATGGGATGACTAACCAACATATATGATAATACTAGTACTCAAACTACCACAACTTTAACAATCGACAAGTATTCTGAATTTAAGTAAAAACAAATAAATGATCTTCCTGATGCCCAATATCTTGTTGACCCGTCCATCGAATCAAAGCTATTTTGTATGTGGACGTTGTGACTATATAACAATGTCATCCACTTTTGCTGATAATTCTTATTGCTTATAGAAGGATTTGTTCTTAAAATATGCTGTTTTTAGGGTGTTAGCTGATGACGCGTTGGTTATTGTTGAGAGAACATGCTAACAGCTCTTTTGAGACGGCTTTTAAACACAGCAGGGCGTTTAGCTTAATACTAATGTCAGCTACATTGACATGGGGAAAAATAGTTTTGTAGGTATTTAATCAACCTCATTCTGTTAGCCTGATTATGCCACTAGAGAACAAAAAGGAGCACCTATTAGGGCTGCCTGATTTGGATATAAAAACGAATTGCGACTGAAACTCCAATTGTGATATGATTCACGATATTGGAGGGATTGATCTTTTCAAATCATTATTTTCATTATCATTGAAAGAAATTGAATTTCCCTTTACACTAGCCCATATTGTGATTTCAATGGAAGTTCTATTAATTGTGAAGCTCTAAAAAAATCAAACATTTTATTGTGATTCATTCATTGGGGACCAGGAATGTACCACAATGCATTGCAATTCATCCAGTAGTTGTTGATATTTTTTCGTTTGTGTGGTGGACCCACTGACAATCTTTGACATTCCCAGAACCCAATCACTAACAGAACTTAATTCACATTCTCCTCCTGTATACAAACATACTGTATTCATCAGTACCTTGTCTGTCTACTGTCTATAAAGCAGAGCTATCTCAAAATGTGTTTCTGTTTGTAAAGGTTATGTTTGATTTATCTCCTCAGGCAAGAATGCATAAATGCTATTTTTAAAAGACATGTTTTTTTTCCTGGGACACCTGTCTGGTGTAAAGTGTCACAAAAGGAGGTGTGAATCAGCCGCGTGTTGATGGGAATAAAAGGTTGGAGGGGTCTTTCAATCTGTTTACCTGTGATTCAGCAAAGGTTTTCAGGCACAGTCTGTACCCAGAGGCAGGCGATGGTTGTGAGTAAGCATTACCTGTTCACAGAGTTCACAGAGTTTACCGATACAGTCCTTTCCATTAGAGCCCATCGTGGGATGTGAAAATACACTCTATAGTGTAGATTTTTCAAATAAGACTGAGTGCATTGAAAACATTATAGTCTAGACTGGAATCATTCTTCAAAAGTGATTAACAAAATTCTTTCTTCGCTTAATATTAGTAGTTTAAGGCTCCTCCATCTGGTATCGATTTCTACATAATTGATTTCCTACAATTTTCAACATTCATTTATTAGCACCCGCCCACTTGGATCAGCTCAATCTTTCCAGGAAGTTTTGTAGCCTCGGTGCGAGTCATCCCACGAAAAAGAAAAAAGTAGAGACGGCATGTTCCAATTTAAACGATCTTCCTCGGACAATCAGGCACAATCAGAGAGATTGTGTCACGCTGGAAGAAATCGGGCCATTTCAAGCTGTTGGAGTTTTGTCTTGGTGATTTCCCAGACAATAGCAATATCAAACAAATGAACCCTGGGTGTAAAAATGATACCACTGGCCATTAGGAACTGCTAGTGGGTGAATGTTGGAACTGAACAGAGGGATCATTAAGCTGGAGTAATGGACGTCCAGAAGGTCACGTCAAGGAAAAGTCTCGCTGGGAACATAAACCAGAACACTGTTTCAACATGGCATTACTTTTAGCCTACTAGTCAAATCCTGGGAAGGGAAACATGAATCTTATGGTGGATTCAGCCCCCTCATGAGAACATATTCCTTTCTGTGAGCAATTTCCTTCCTCGGTGAACAGAAAAGCGGAGGAATGCGTCAATCCGAATGTTGTTCAGTGATAAAACATTACATTCATTTGTCCGTAATGAAACATCCAATTGGCTGCCGCTGTTTTTGATCTCAGCTCTATCCACTGGCTGTTGACAGCTCAGATAACGGTGAAGTGCTCCAGACTAAATGAACTCTTGAGTTTGTTAATAATGAAACCAAGTAGCTGTTGCTGACTCGTTCTTGGTCTCGTTCAGGAACGTCCTTAATTGTGTAGCCCGTGTGTTGCAGGCTGATAATTGTAATTCCAACGGTTATTATACAAGGAGCATCCTGCTATAGGTGGACAACAGATAGCTTCATTTCTGGAGCACTTAATGTGTTGAGAGTGGTTCAGCTCAAGTGCTTTAATATACTGTACATCAATCAAGAAAATAGCTCTGCACAGGGTGTTCCTGTCAAACTCACCCTGACATTTAATATCCACTACTCATTTCTCATCTTATTACATTAAGGGCTGGGGAAACTATTGGGCTAATTTGCACAAGATTTGCCTATCCTGCAGTTTGATTGGAACCAATGATCTGCAAATATGATCTAGGAGAGTTCACAGATCCAGTCTTTACCAGCCCAATGGACTTTCATCTGATAAGTTTAATACACCATTCGTGCAAGTCCCAGGGATCAGAGACTGCCAAAAGCCCTGAAGAGCTCAGTTTGCAGCGAAGTGAGACGCGGCGAGTGTGACTGTTTGCCTCTGTTGTTATTTTGATTGGAATTACTGGATCATGAGATTACAGAGCCCAATGTAAAAGGAGGTACCAGGAGTCAGTAGGATAATCTAATATAATTATAAGTTTCCAATGTGAGCATATTTACAGCTGAGATACAAAATAATCAGAAAGATATTTAACCGTAATGCAGAGTAACGTTTCTCCCAATGTGACTCCAGCCTGTTTTTCATGCCGCTGTTGGCTCCAAAGTAATGCAGAAGATATTGACTAATGTTGTTTTCAAAGACATAAACTAATGATCTTTTCATCTGTTTCTTCTATTTTGTTTTCCTGCAGAGATTGAAAAGTATGAAGGGGATGAATCGAGAAAAGATGGCAGCACTAACAAATACCTAGATATCATCAGCAATAAAAATATCAAGCTCTCTGAAAGAGTTCTCATTCCAATCCAACAGTATCCAAAGGTAAGAGACGCAACAGCACTGTGTTATGACTGTTTTCGACTATAAAACTCAATGTAAGGTAAGGCAAGGCAAGTTTAATTATATAGCACTTTTCAACTCAAGGCAATTCAAAGTGCTTTACAAAAATGAAAGACATTAAGAGCATTAAGAAACATATTATAAAATGAAAACATTCATTTAAAAGCATTGATATAAAATGACATTTAAAAACACTCATTTAAAAGCAAAGATACATGAATACAAGTTACAGTGCAGTGTGAGATACACACATCTGAAATGTTTAGGTCTGACTCATTCATTGCCAACTTTTTTGCAGAAATAGTTTTCTATCACCTCCCTTTCTTTCTACTTTCTCGTTTAACTTGTCCTTTAGTTATTTCAAGTGTTTCATGCTAAACGAACCCACCTTTGGAAAATTATAATCTGACCCCATGGTACCTTTTAGTTTTCGCCGAAACTATTCCTCTGTTCTATTTTTAAATGCACATAGTTAAGTTTACCTTGTCTTTCTAGGACTTTTTTGGTATCCTCCGTGAACCAGGGTCTTGAAACCAAAACGGATTCCTGTACCCCATGGTACCTTTTTAGTTTTCGCCCAAACTATTCCTCTTTTTTTTAAATGCACATTGGTTAAGTTTAAGTTGTCTTTTCTAGGAATTTTTTGGTGTCCCTCCGCGACACCAGGTGTCCTCCGAGCGAACCAAACGACGGCCCCTCTCTACACTTGGACTTAACCACCTATGAGGGAGACTTTAACCCCAATAATGACTTTAACTACCTTCGGGCGCGGGACACTAAAGGCCAAGGACTTCAAAGTGCTTTACAAAAATGAAAGACATTAAGAAAATGGCATTAAAAAGCAAAGATAAAAGTTACAGTGCAGTTTAAGATATGAATATATCAATTAAAAGCAGCGGCAAAAAGAAAAGTCTTCAGCCTGGATTTAAAAGTAGTAAGAGTTGCAGCGGACCTGCAGGTTTCTGGGAGTTTGTTCCAGATATTTGGAGCATAATAACTGAACGCTGCTTTACCATGTTTAGTTCTGACTCTGGGGACAGAAAGCTGACCAGTCCCTGAAGACCTGAGAGTTCTGGATGGTTCATAATTTAGCAGTAGGTCAGAAATGTATTTTGGGCCTAAACCATTCAATGTGTATCCAGTTATTACTTCTTGTTTTTTAGTTAATGGTATCGATACGCCTACTGTGGGTGTAGATCTATTGTTAATAAGTGGTCTTGTACAGAGTTAAAGTTGTTGTGGTGCGCTCGTCACGTAAACTGAATTACTTGACTACACAGCTTGAAAGGGTTCAATGTGTTTCTGGTTTGCTCATTCACAAAAACCTCGTTTTAAGTCTTGAAGTTTTCATCACGACTCAAAGTCAGACGTTACAAGTTTTATTTGTCTATTTTCAGTCTTAGATTCCTCATAGGTCCTGAAGACCTGGACTCAAGTTGTCAGTATAATTTTGTTACTGATAGTCGGATAGATAGAGTGATTTCTTTATAAATCCTAATTTCTGATTACATTCGTCCTTAAACCTTATTTGACAGGTAAGATCGAAAATAAAGTCATCTGACCTGATGACATACCACAGAAGTGTCCAGGTGATTTTTATATATGTCTTTCGGGACGGTCGACTAACGTTCTTGACAGACGACGGAGCTCAGAGGAGTGTTGTGGTTCTTTCACCATTTTGAGTGAGGACAAGACTTTCAGAAATGTGCGAAGGGACACACGAAGTATTAACTAAAGTTTTATAGATAGTAGACCGGACGCC